ACAACATTGTAAAATGATTATAAATCAATAAAAAATGTTAAAAAAAATGAGGTAGGGGGAGCATAAGTTCTTATCCTGTAAGTGTGAGCTTCACAGACTGACCTGCTTCCCCAGAGTCCAGCACGGAAAAGGAGAAAAAAGTACTATGCAGGGAAACCTGGCAAACAGCACCACAGCTAGCTGACCAAGGTCAATGTCAACAGGGATAAATCATGCCAAGAGTATGTACCATTGATGCAATGGGAGGAGAAGATGATACTTGACCTCTGTGGTCTTCCTCTCAATAACCCACAACCCCGGAGTAATCATGAGTAGAACGGCACACACCTTCAAAGAGAGGGCAGCCCACAAAATATCTGACCTATCAAGTTCATCAAAACGAAGTCTGGGAAACTGCCATGGCCAAGAAGAGCCTAAGGAGACAGGACAACAAAATGTAATGTGGTGTCCCGGACAGGACCCCAGAACAGAAAAGGAATATTAGGTAAAAACAAAGAAACTCTGAATGAAGTATAGACTTTAGTTAATGATACTACCTTGATATTGCTTGACTGACTGTAGCAAATATATCGTATGAATGTCAGATGTTAATAACAGGGGCTCTGGCATATGGAAAATCTCTTCTCCATTTTTCTGAAAATTAAAACTTTTCTAAAAACATAAGTCTATTTAAAAAAATCCATTGAGTCACTGTTTTAGACTAATTGGTGGGGAAGTATTATGAATTAGTATGAATTATAGACTTAACCTCACTTTACCTTGGGTATATAGATTATTTTAAAAGAGAGAACGCATTTAAAAAAATAATATATATGTATGCAAAAGCAAAGAATTTGGAAGGAGATATGCCAAAATAGCAATCAGACCATGTGTAAACCTTAGAGTTACAGATGGATTTCATTTTCTACTTTTGTCTCTTCTATATAATTTTAAAAACCTGTAAGAATGTTACTTGTATAAGTAGAAAATAAAGCTATTCTCATTTAAAAAATGAACAAATGAATAGGGTTTTGTGGTGAAGACCCATGGGAACTGACTTCAGGATAAAAATAATCTGTGATCAAACTTTCACTTGTTTTAAGCTTCTGCTGAGCTTAATGGTTCCCAGAGATAATTTCATTCCTAAATATCTGAAATTGTACTGTAATCTTGTTAACAGATTTGCTGTACGTGGCAGCCCCACTTTTTGGTAAGTTCTAAAATGTTCAACCTCAAACTTTCCCCAACTTTTATAGCTAGGGTTGAATCTGAGGTCTATTTTGGTGATAAGCCTTTGGGTTCTATGGAACCATGAGTTAGTGGAGGCCCAACTGATAGGAATGGGACATTTCACATGGGACATTTTCTTCTGCATTTCTTAACTGTAAGACTGTACGCTACCTGTGGGCAACCCTGTGTCTGTCTTGTCCATCTCTCCATCCAATGCCTAGGTTAGGGTCTGTTTTTTGAACATTCTTTCCTTTCTCCACAGATTTGAAATAAAGATCTTCATTGTACATTCCCACCAACATATGAGCACCCTGTGATGTCCACAGACTGCATTCTCTCTGCTTGCAATAATACATCACTGTTCCAGTCACTAAACATGTTTTTATGCTTAATAGGACTAGCCTTCTCCACCCAAACTTTGTGTATTTCAAAACTGTCTCAGCTCTTTCTGCTGATTTACCCTTCAAGATAAATATTCAGCTTTTATCAACAACCTGCAGCAATTGAGATAGTGATTATATTGAATTGATCGTTAACTTGGGGAAACGTGATCTCCTGACAAAACGAGCCTTCCCATCCATGAACATGGTACACATCTCTCCATTTATTTAAGTTTTCTTCTGCAGTGTTGGTAAAGTTTAATAACTTTTTCCATGAAGTTCTTGCACATGTATTTTATTCTTAGGAATGTTATGATTTTCATGCTATTGTGGATGGGATCTCATTCCAGAACTTTGACGTTAATGTATTTTAAAATCAAAATCAAAATATTTCCACAACATTGAATGTCCTAAAAGATATTAATTCCCTCCTAAAGGAAAGCAAGAAAGGGGGTGCCAAGGGGAGACTTTGGAAGAAGCACAAAGGTACTGAATTTCTGAAGACTGGGAAGGATAGCATTGTTACATGCTGTTCCTAAACTCTTTGCAAGTCTCAAAAGACAAAGGAGCCTCCTTTTGCACTGCACCCACCCCTCCAGGAGTATCTCAGATGCACAACCTAGAGCCCTTACCTGGGCCCCTGGGAGCTCAGGACCAACCAAGGAGCTTTGGCCATCATTTTCTTGGCTCTGTCTTTACTGAGCCTATGTCAACGTGGTCTCAAGAAAATATATCTATGAATCATTCTGTATCAATTATTGTTTTAATGATAACCATGAATTCCTAGTTGATGACACAAATTGCCTTCTGCCACTAATTCTTAAGGATATCAGCATCATACATTTAGCACCTCTTAACTATGGACTGGGCCCAAAAGACTCAATTTAGCTGCATAGCAATTAGAACTGGTAATGACCTAGGAGGCCACTTAGAGATAGATCATACAAAGGAAGCCTGGAAAAGTCAAAATACTAGTTGAAGTGACAGAGTTAATGCTGGAATCCAGATGTCCTATCTTCCAGTCCAGTGCTTTCCCCTCTGTATGCCAGGCTCCCTACCACAGGGCCTTTGCATGTTCTGCTCTTTCTGGCTGGAATGCTCTTCCCCTTTCTCTAACCTAATTAATACCTGCTCTTTCTTCAGATTTTAGCTCAGGTGCCAACTCTGCAGGGAAGCTGTTCCTGACTTTCTTAATGCAGTCAAACTCTCCTGTTATACATTCTTACAGGTCCTTTTATATAGAACTTACCACAGTTGTCATTTTATATTGACCTTGTGTGATTACTGTTTGATTCCACATTAACTCTGAGCCCGACAAAAGTGGGAGTAGTGCCTGCCTTTGTTCACCATTGTATCCAGGTTACCACAGTGGAAGCCTTTAATACATATTAATGAGCTATTCTGGCAACTTCTGCAGAGGCTTTCAAAAACTGTTTCATAAAGAGACCACATGCTATACCTAGACCCCGGGATATATTTTAGTCACCTCTGTGGTCAAGATTTAGATCAGATTTTGTCTACTTCTCCACTTTCATTTGTTTGTTTATTTTACTGAGGTATAGTTGATTTACAATATTAGTTTTAGGTGTACAACACAATGATTCAAAAATTTTATAGATTGTACTCCATTTATAGTTATAAAATATTAGCTAGATTTTCCTGTGCTGTACAATATATTCTTATAGCTTATTTATTTTACACATAGTAGTTTGTACCTCTTAATCCCTTGTCTACTTCTTCAAAATAGTCATTCTTAGAATTCAAATGCTAAGATATACTAATTACAAGGATGGAGTTGTAAGTGCTGTGGGTACCTGACCCCCAAGACTGGGATGGACACAAACCCAGGTCAGGCTAGTCCCCACTCTGCCGCTCCCTCCCCTTGCCTGCGGAAAGTTCTGGAGTGAGTGGAATGTTCTAATAGCATCTTAGGTGGAGCAGGGAGAGGGGTTGCTTGACTCGCTCCAAAACATAGCCACCCACCCTCCCTCACTATCCTGTTCCGAGCTATCAACAACTTGTCTCATGCAATATCTTCCTCCACCCCAGAAGTGATGAACTGGGGTTCATGGAAATCCAAGCTCACTGCAGAGGCATGGCAGTAGAAGACTGAGTTCCAGGAACAACACTCACACACAGCCTTTTCACAGTTCCTTCTAACATGGATTCTCCTTTTTGTTGATATTTAACTCCTCTTTGGTTATAAAAGCCAGATGCAGAGAAAATAAAAAAAAGGCCTTCTCTTAAATTTGAATGTGAAAATCCAAAGTTTTTCTCTATTAGAAAAATAACAGAAAATGTATAAAATACAGTTAAAAAAAGAAAACATGGGTAGAGGAGAGGGTATAGCTCAGTGGTACAGTGCACAAGGTCCTGGGTTCAATCCCCAGTGCCTCCACTGAAAATAAACAAACCTAAGTACCTTCCCCACCAAAAAAAAAAAAAAAACAACAAAAAAGCAAAACAAAGATAAAAAAAGAAAACACAGATTCACCCACGATTATGCCATCCAGAATTGCTAATGTTTGGGTGAATTGACTTTCAGTATTTTTATCTATGCATATATTTCATTTATTTGGTTTCGTTTTTTAATAATTAGAATTATTTCTAAATGAATTCTTTTAAAAAAAATCCTCATTTAACAGCAACCCAGTTTGAGCAGCGAAGGTCTATGGATTCCGTTTCCTGTAAATGAGCCCCTTTCAAGGCCGGCTTTCACTGTTGGCTGCCTTTGTAGCGCTGGCCTACGTAAGGAAGCTGCCTGCCCCCAGGGCGCGCATAAGACAGAGACCCAGCCGGTACCATGTGAGGAGCTAGGCCGGCGGGAAAGGCGCGACCGCTCGGCACAGGAGCCTGAGCAATGCCACTGAGCAACACATTTTAAACTGGGAAGCTTGGGAAACTTACCCAAACTTTGTCTCCTGGAGTCTCTTCCTGATGGCCAGAGAAATGTACAAAACCAACCCCATCAGAACGAATCCACAGAAGCAGCCAAGGATGATGAGCACAGGATCTGCGTTGCCAGGCGCTGGGGTGGACGAGGGGGCAAAATCTATCAAACCTGGAAAAATACCAACAGAATCAACTCAAAACATCCCTTTGGGATCTGAAATACAGAAGAAATGTTGGCTTGTAAACGGTGGCTTCTTTGGTAAATCACCAATAGAATCAACTCAAAACATTTCTTTGGGATCTGAAATACAGAAGAAACGTGCGCTTGTAACACAGTCCAGGCTCTAGAACTAAATCCTCCTTTATTTTGTGATCTACACATGGAGGAAGTCCTCACTTTGATGGTGTAAGTTGCACAGAGGGATCTTAATAATCAACGGGAAACTCTCTGTTTTGAATTTTGTATTAATTTTTTAAATTGAAGTACAGCTGATTTGTGATATTGGGGAAACTCTTCATGCCAGTTATGAATGTATAAGGAACTGAAGTAATGGTGAAACTAACATTTAACTGGTACTCAGTAACTTAAAACACTAGAGCTATTGAGAATTTAAAATGTTTCTTTGTAAAAGAAACTCATCCGGAGTGGTTGCAACAGTGCTTGCCAGCTTCTAGTCACAGAGCTTAGGACAGAACGTACTCTCCACGCCCTGGCGGATGCCAGACTCCTTTCTAAGTCTGGATTCGCTCCCAGCGTTTTATCCCTTGCACTTTTAATGCTGTAAAATATCTTTGTGAGTTCCTTTAACGTTGTGATGAGAAAACAGCTCTTCTGAGTTTACAGTGTGACAACCCTGCTCACACCCAGAATCTAGACATTTTGATAAGGAACTGAGCTGAGGATTCCTGCTCAAGTTCCCATTTTGCTTTTCCTGGGGCACCTTTAAAAATAACTGCTTAAGGAGGGGAGGTGATAGCTCAGGAGTAGAGCACATGCTTAGCATCCACGAGGTCCTGGGTTCAATCCCCAGCACCTCCATTAAAAATAAATAAGTAAACCTAATTACCTCCTCCCCCCCTAAAAAAAAAAGGCCTAAAAATAAAATTAAGTAAATAAAATAACCACTTAGAGTTGAGCCCTTGAGAAGTTAAGCTGTGGTGTTTACTACCCCAGTCTCTCCCACATGCCCTGATCTGGGACAGAGGACTGCCCTTCCAGCTGGGCTCACCACCCCCTAACCCCTGTTTTTAGGATCTGTGATAAATCTTGTGACTCTACTTCCTTTGCGTGGGTGGATTGAAACTGCTCCATCAAAATGTCCCCAGCATTTTCACTTCCCCCCAAGTGGGAGCTCGGATGCTGAGGGAGCTACCTGCCCACCCTGACGTGGGTGGCTCGTGCATCCTCATTCAGTAGGTCAGAATCTATTCTTAATTCAGGACACCAGCTACGGAGCCCTGGCACAAATGTGAAGATTTTTGCCCAGTCTCACTTCCTCCGGGACAGCTCCCTCCTTTTCAGCACACCCACTTCATTCATCTGGGTAAGTCCTCCTTCCCTGAGGTCCCTGGCTGCCCAGCAGTCCCTGCTGCCCGGCTTGCGAGCAAATGGCAGCAGCATCAATGTGCCCGCTGCCAACTATTTCATAACCCCCTGTACATTCAATTCCCATTTCACTCCCGACACGATCTCTTTTCCTTTCTTTGCTGCACTTTCATTTTTGTTCACCAACTTGATCTGTTCCTGCGAAATGCCACGTGAGTTTGCCCCTGGGACACAAAGAAGTAACGCAGCTCTGTGCTGGTTAGATGTGTGTGAACTGAATAACAAAAGCGTGGTGACCAACCACGATGGACTCTGAAAAAGGGACATGACTAGTCACGACCATGATGTGTTCAGTATTTATGGAGTGATCTGTGGACTGAAGAGCTGGCGGTGAAGTTTATACAATTACTCACAGTAAGCATTTGCTGGCAGCTCAAATTTGAACCATATTGCTAGGGAAAAAGGTGTTATTTAACTAAACCGTGGTAACTGAAACATATGCAGACTGGAACCGTGCAAAGCCAGGACTGCCGGGACGGCAGAGCTTTTTACAATTTTGGACAGTTTATTTTGTGTGAGGATGACAGATCTGTCATCTTAAGCTCTGATTTTTCAACCTGTGCCTTTTGAATCAGAATCTCATTGTCTCTGAATTTCCCTGTGGTGGACACACCTTGTGTCCCCGTCGCCAGTTACTAATCTTCCGTAGGGACAAGGACTTTGGGCTGTAGGAAAAATAATATGGCTGTAATCTGGCACTAAAAGGGAGGGCACATTTGAGGTCACTGGGACAGACAGATGGGAACTCAGTGGTCTGCTCACAAGCCCCGTCTGCTGGAGGCACAAAGGCCATATTTGGCAAGAACTTATAAGTGCACAAATCACACCAATCTAGGCGTCCGCATGGAGCTGATGACAGTGGTTCATTGCCAAATAACCCAGGGCAGGTCAGATTTAGAACAAGGTGGCTCCCCTGGTCTAAGGAAGCAAACACAGCCTTTGGGTCACCTGGGGCACCACAGTGTCACCTTGCTGCAGGTCACCCCAACAACATGCAGAAGCCAGCACGCACGGCTGGGCATTGAGCTGAGCGAGCCTAGAGCCATCTAAAGACGGTTTCTGTAGGAAACACTGCCTGTTCTGTGCGGATCAATCATGAAGCACGTTACCCGAGGCTTGGATGACTCACAACAAGGCTGCACTGCTTAAAACAAACACCAGTGAAAAAATAAACAACGCCGGTTACAGGGAGCTAAGGATTAGCCACACTGCACATCCAAAATTCGGCCATGCACACATCATTTAAACTAAATTCAGTAAGTCCAGTCGAATTCGGTGTTCTGAAGGACGAATCTTCCTGGTAAGTCGTTACCATGAACAGAAGCAGTAGTGGGAGGACTCACGGGCATCAGGAGCTCCGTCCTGACCCCTGCCAAAATTCCTTTTGGTCTTTATTTTTCATCCATCCCACAGCTTACTCTCCGGCAACCTGTGCGTTGCCCGGACTGAGGTTCTATCAGCTGATAAGGGCGCCAGCTCTCACCGTGTGGTGGGATGGGTATTTCCACCGGGTCACTGAAGGGCCCGACTCCCCCTTTGGTGATGGCCGCGATCCTCACTGTGCACGTGGCGTTGTGGACCTGAACAGAAAGCTGGGCATGGCTGCCGTTCTGGCTGACTTCTTCCGAGAGCTCTTTCTGGGGACAGAGAGGAGAGGAAAGGAGATGAAATAGCCTGTCTGCCCACAGTTTTTCTGGGGGATGCTGCCCCACGCACATCCCAGGGGCAGTGGCTATGTTTTCACAGCATCCTTGCTGCACTCAGGCCACAGCCTAGGAAGCCTAAGACAGGCAGGGATGCAGGACATGCTGGCAGCATCCTCAGGCCTTGGGGACCTTGGTCTACTAGGGCCATGCAAGCATGACACTTGGAGTGGCCAGTGAAGAAGCCCCTGGAAGAAGGGGAGGAGTATGTGGCAGATACACCCCAATGGCAAGAGCAAGGCTGTCTCCTCAGGACCCCCACCCTCCGCACTGCCAGGAGCCACGCTGCATCTTGACAGGGACCGAACACCAGCCTCCCTGACCCAGCCCGAGGGGGCTCTTGTTCCCTGCAATTCTAAGAGTTGTGACTCGAATCTACATTTCGGAGGGCACTGATGTCATTTTCTTCTCTTCCAGTGTGACAAACGCACCACGGGCTCCATATTCAAACATCCTCTTCGCTTATTTATTTTGTTTAAAAGCCAACTGCCATGTACCTTGAGCCAACATTAAAGAATTGCCAAGAACCCAGAAGTGACCCTACCTCCCATCTCCTTCTTTACTTCATATCCTGTATGAGCTTTTGATTCAAGATTATAGTACAAAATATCAATATTTGAAATGAACACATCTTGAATTTTTATATCCTGGTGATCTCTGTTCTTTTACCAACAATGGTTATAGGTGAATTATCAAATGAAAGACACAGTTATAAAAACTGGGAACAAAACAGTCTTGGGATAACGGCTCCAAATAATGGTTGAGCTTACTTTTTTCTTTCAATGGAGAGAAAATTACTCAAGGGGAGAAAAAACTAAGAGGGGAAGAGAAGGGAAGTATTAATAAGTAAACCAAAGTGTCTGAACTGTCTTTGAGGTCTTTTTGTTGAAAAAGGACCATTTTAAACACGTATATTACATGAGGAACCAAGTTTATGAAAATGCTTTATAACAAACATTCTGATTTAGGAATACATTTTTTTTCAGAAAAAAAAATGGGAGGAAATGATTTTTGAAAAAATAACCAGAACTAAGGGCTTATATAGTGCTTTTCCCTTTGTCTCCAAACCTCGGCTACCATGATGTTCTCCCGAGTAGGAAACTAATTTTGTGTTTGGGGCTGGCTTTTCAAGTAGGAGCCGCAGGGGTGGTGAAGGCTGAAATGAAGCCGGAGGAACACACCTCTTATCTTTGAAGTGTGCAGATTTGTTTTCACAGAGAGAAAGAAATGTCATGTCCTGTGGAGCACAGATGTCACAGATCACCAACGAGCAGCAGGGGCCTGGTTTGGGGGGGGTGACTTCATTCCCTCGTCCTCACTCATGCTGGTCACTGCTGGTGCAGCCAGCCCAGTGCTCACAGACACGGCCTTCCCATCGCTCACAACCACGGGGGCACCTGGGTCGGCCACCTAGAGACTGTTTATAATCTCAACCGGCAGTGACCATCAGGACCTAGAGATGTCCCCAGACAAGGGGTGAGAGGGAAAAACATCTCCTTAAAATTTTAGGTCTTTTAACTAAAATTTTTTTGGTTTTCCATAGATTTTTTTTTTTGCTGTTAATTAGGGTGACAAATTAACAATTAATTTGGGGGGCTATCAAAGGGTATTTTCTGTACAGCAAACCCAGCTTTGAATATGAGTTAGTTGGTGGTTCTCTATATAATTTGGGGAAGACAGAAAATCATCAGGTAGCGTAACCTCCCCATCCAAACCTGCAGCCCTGCAGCCCTGCGGTGACTCAGGCTGGCAGCTGAGAAGCAGCTCGTCAGCAGCACCGTTTACTCAAAGCACAAAGACTTCGTGCCTGACGAGGCGCCGGGGCCAGCTTCTGGTCTCATGCTTTTTGTCTACGAGGATTCAAACACAATACACTGTTTATGAGTAAAATGATCTCAAAATGAGAGGAAACGCATGATTTCCAAAAGAATTAAATCCCTAGAAGAAGAGAAATCCTAACAGAAACAAAACCACCCTTTGGGAAATAAACGTAAAAGCGGTTTATAACACCTATTCATTCACACAGGGCCTATAACTCACTATGAAAACCCAGAGAAGTCACTTTCCAATTTGTACCTCCCATGCTTTGAGCAAATTGGGAGTTTTAGGTTCCTCCTGGGGTGAGCTTTCTTCCCTGCAGTGTTCTTTTGTTTGGTTTTTAGAGGGGGAGGTAATTAGGTTTATTTTTTTGATGGAAGTACTGGGGATTGAACCCAGGACCTTGTGCATGCTAGGCATGCGCTCTACCACTGAGCTGTACCCTCCCCCCGCTTCCCTTCAGTGTTCCTATTTGTCTCCCGCTGCGGCTCCGCTCGTGACCTGTCTCCAGGAATGTTACTCAAAGCAAAATGAGCCACTGAGTCTCCCCCCCCCCCACTGAATCTTCTGTGGTCATAAGCCTGTTGTGATGCACAAAGTAGAGCCCGGGCACAATGCAAAGGACCGTCCCACTGGGGTGATCCAGCATTTCCAAGGAGGTAACGACTGGAAAGGTCACAGCCCTAACGGGGGCGGCACTGTTCTCACCGCAGCGGGGACCGTTCTGAGCAAAGGGCGATCAGAACGCACGGCCGAGTGTCAAAGGCACTTGTGCATTACGCTGTCTGGTGGCGTCATTCCTAAGGCTCTCATCACTCCGGCCCACCTGCCCAGCTCAAGAGGTCCCCTCAGCAGACACTTGAGCAGGATAGAAACAAAGCAATTTCTTTAAAGAGCGGCAGGTCACTCTCCCTCCTCCTCTCCCGGGGTGGGTAAAAGACACTTCTTTTCTCTGTGTCTGTGCTCAGCACTGATTTCTAGCAGTGATGCCCACGGAAGCTCAGGAGACACAAGGTTGTCTTCAGGGCTGACGGTGCCCTTCACAACCAGGGCCCCCCCAACCAAGTCACATCACCGGGCGAAGGAGGGGCGGTCAGGCCCCACCGTCCTCTGTATGATCTCAGTGAGCAAGAAAAACTTCCAAGAGCGCAGCAGGAGCTACGGACGTGCTGAGTGACCTGGCCAGTCAGCAGTGTGCGCCGGTGGAAAGATGGCAGATCTGAAGGTTACTTTTCTCCATAAGCTCAACTTTCTTATCTATAAAAGGGTCTGAGTCACATAAGCCATTGTCATCATATGTAACTTTCAAATCGTCCTTCTGGGCTTGCGATTTTCATGGGCTCCCTTGCCATCTGCCAGATTCGATCTGATCTCCTTCCTAGGGCGGTGGCTTCCCCATCCATCTTCACCTCACACCACCTTCCTCAAGGGATTCACATTCCAGGCCTTCCAGTGGGTCATGATTTCCCCCTTATGCCTTCTCTCATGCTTGATCTTTGTCAAAATAAAGACTCCTCAGTCTTTGTCCAACTCTCTCAATCTTTGTCAAAATAATTCCAAGCCCAGATCAGGTACCACTTTTACTGGGGGAGAGGCGGTCTGCTGCCATGGGCCCTGAGCATCCTTACACATCCCGGCTGTGTGTGATGAGTCAAACCACCCTCTGACCTTAAGCCATTCTGGCAAAGGTGAAGGTGGCCACAGCGTGACCACCGTGCAGCTGCAGAGACCATGGGCTTGCGCTGAGCTCTTGGCCCTGGGACCTCAGCTGTCCAGCCTGCCACCTGGGTTCATTGATCGCAGATGGGGCAGATGGAGGAGATCAAGCAGGAAGCTGGGCTGCCAGGCTGGCGCTCTTGCCGTGTGCTGGGCCGTGAACGATACAGACAACCTGGCTCTGGTCCATCGCATCTTGTGTCTAATTTCAGCTCTTACGGAGCAGTGCCAAGCCGACCTGATTGCGTATTTAGACCTCCCCTTGCCATCCCCTATGAGGCTGGGGTTCTTCCCTGACAATCTTTTTCCGAAAAGCATCTTCTGGAACTTCCTGGGAATTGCAGGACTGCTAAGCCCTCCGGGTAATTTGCACTGGCTTCCTCGAAAAGCCTAAGTTCCCTGAAGGCAAGAATGAGGTGATAATCAAGGATGAATTCTACACTATACACACTGACTGATTAAATAAATGAATGGATGAAGAGTGAGTGAGGAAAGCCCTGAAGATTCCTCAGAACTCTGTAACTTTTCAAGTACTTCTAACTCTTACTACACTGCAAGGTGCCTTGCCTAAACCCCTTAAGATCAGGTCTTTTCTCACCAAAATGAATGCTCAAGGAGTTTTCAATCAGCAAATCAAAGGAGGCAAGGCACTCTTTTAACTTACGGACATCTCCGCGCTCTGCCACACGTGAGTGATCCGGTAGCCCACCAGCTCCCCGTCCTGCCTCTTAATCGGAGGCTTGACCCATCTGATGTCCACCTTGTTGCTAGACTCGTTCAGAGACATAGTGACATTCAGAGGTGCTACGGATGGGGCTGCAAAAGAAGAAGGAGAGAGGGCTGAAGAACTGCACAGAAGAGCTCCCTGAGATTCATTCCCTTCCTGGTTTTGGTATGTTTCGTGTTTTTTGAATTTTCTATGAAAAGCATTCAAATGAGACTGAGATTAATTGCGTATTTTTACCCTCTTTTCAATGAAGGACCTTTGAGCTATCTCAGTTTAAAAAAGGAAGCCCTTTCTAAACTAAAATAAGACAGAAGGGGAAGGCAGGAAAGGAGGGGGGCGGCTCAGGAACCCCTCCTGGGGAAGCAAAGCACACACAACTCCAACAGGCTCCCCCAGGCTGGCCGGGGGTCGGCTCTGGGTGGTTTGCACTGCACAGGCAGGGGACACTGCTGAGCTCAGAGGAAGCCACAAGTTTATAGTCCAGACGTAGGTTACTGATGGTTTGAACAGAGCTGATCAGTCAATAAATTTAAATATGTGTGTGTGTGTGTGTGTTTTAGACATCTCCTGAATGAAGATCAGAAGGTCAAATATTAATTACTGGGCTAGATGTCAAAATGTAGAATTTAGCACTGGTTTTCACTCTCTCGTTTATAATAATTCTGCACAAGCCACATACCCACTTCATGTCAAAATCTCTGTTATCTCTCACAAGGATATAAGGATAATAGAAGTTAAAGCATTTAAAAAAAAAGTATGTGGGTACAGTATACTTACAAAATAATTTGGGAAAGAAGTCAAGGTTATAACTACATTTTGGGGGGGGAGGGAGGAATGTGACTGTAGCTATGTTTTAAAAAATATGCCCTTTGACCAAATGTTTTATTTCCAGGGATTTAATCCAGAAAAATTCTCCTGTAGGTAGTGTTAGATTCACTGAAGCATAATAGTGACAAAAAGGAATAAACAGAATGTTCAGTCAATGATTATGATATAATAAGCTTTGATAATTTTCCAATGGGATACTTACTGCCCCACTCTGAAAAGATTTTGGGAGACCGTATAAATTATTATGAAAAAATACCTAATTGGGGGGATAAGAAAGCTGCAGAAAGTATGTATCAATGATCCATTTTAGAAATGAAAAAAATAAGTGTTTCACATATAAAGAGTAAAAACAATTGCAATAATATATAGGAAATCGTTGCCTGTAGTACGTTTTACTTAGGGGAGATTAAACTGGGTATTTCTGATATATCCCAAAGAGAAACAAAAGGGCACAATAACTCTCTTTGTCTCTGCTGATTCCAGGAGCAATAATAATGAAGCTAGAATAAATTTCAGCTTAGAAAATGTCATACAGCTAAAGCTGTGTCTATGAAAACAGACTTTCAAATCCGTTGTAGAATTTATGGAGAAACATAGCTGGCTCAGCATGTCCTTATGTCTACTGCCTCCTAAGACCCCTCTAAGATGACAATAAGGAATTTAAAACAGTATAAACTCAAAGGGTGTAGAGGAGTCAACAGTGGAAGAGGAATGCCAACATATATATGAAAGCTAGAAAAGAGAGTAGGTTGGTACAGTTAAGTCAGCAAGCTGATTCTCCCCAGAGAACCACAGAGAGGCTCCGAAGTGGTACTAAAGTGGGGACTAAAACTGGAAGACTGGAAGTTTGATCAGGATGCACCCCTCCAACCTAGTGCCACACACACCTGGCAAGTACCCCTTAAATTCCCACAGGAGACAGGCTTTTCAGGACTGAAAAGCTGCTGGACTTGGGGCACCAGCAGAATGGGAGCACGAGGAGGGGCCAGACTGACAACTGGGGAGAGAAGTGCAAGTTGTGCACTGAATGAAGGGGGCTCCACCTCCACCTCCTCCCCACCGGCTCCCAGGACATCAGTAGCCAGGTTCATATGCCTGAGGCTGGGGACGGGAGACTCAATTCTAGAGAAAGCAAGTGGCCCCAGGGGAAAGAAAGCCAATGTTGGCACCTGGGGGTATCCAACCCAAAACACTCAGTTGCCACCCAGCCACCTGACAGTGACGCCTAAAGCCCCGCCCCCGCTCACAGAGCTTCCGGTCGATCACCGATTCTTCACTCCTCAGTGGGCGCGGACAGTGGCGGATCAGCAGAGGCTGGGGGTGGGGGCCCTTCATGAATGTCAGGGACCAAAACAACACACAGCACAGAGGGCTCAGAGGAGGCAAAGCCAGGGTAGGGAACTAGAGAAACCTAAACAAACAAAACAAGTAACAAACCCAAAGATAAGAAAAGGCGAAAGGTTTTAGTCCCCACGTTAGTACCTGGAGTACAACGGAGAACTGGAAAAAACTATCAAAAAAGAAAGAAAATTCTTGAAATTGACCATATAAGAAAAAGTATTTAATAGAAGAATTGGAAGATAGGCAACTAAATCTCCTACCCCCCCCCCCAAAAGTAGAATAAACAGATTAAAGACAAGAGACCAAATTTGAGAAAAAAAAAATTGAGGAAGCAATTGAAGAGGTTCAACAAATGGCTGCATAGTGCCTGTTCTCATCAATCAGACCGGAAAATCTGGTGAGTCAAGGAGCACTGGGTGGAGTACACATAACAGTTTTGTCTCAATAGTGGGTAATAAGTGACCCTAGACCGATTGCTCTGGTCCAATCTAACAAATGCTAAAAGCAAGATCCAAAAGGGTCAATTTTTTTCCAATAGCTTAACTGTGACCCCAAGCAAAGCTCCATACTTACAAGAATACAAAAGTGTCTAGCACCCAACAAGGTAAAATTCACAATGTCCGGAGTCCAACCAAAGATTACCAGACATGAGACACATGGCAGGTAAGTCAAAAGGAGATAAAATGGAATAAAAAAAAATGAATCCAAAAGAAGGAAAAGAAGGGGAGTAAATTACAGACAGAACAAATAGAAAATACAATCGATGTAACTCTACCTATTTTATGAATGATACCATGCATTTTAATGGATTAAATACCCCAATTTAAAGGCAAGGATTGTGAAGTAAAGCACTGCCTCTATGAAACGCACCTTGAATATACAGATATAAATAAGTTAAAAATAACTATGAATAAAAGACATGCCATGTAATCAAAAGAAAGCTAAAATGGCTCTACTAATATCGGACAAAATAGGTTTCACAGAAAATAATATTAACAAAGGTAAAGAAAATAAGTTCATAGCGATAAAGTGGCCAATTTACTAGGAGAGCATTGTAATATTAAGCATTTATGCACAAATAATAGAACTTCAAAATATTTGACCTGCTAGAGTTACAAACAGTAACAGATAAACTCACAATCATAATCGGAGATTTCAATGCACCTCTCTAAATCACTGATAGGAAAAAGAGGCAGAAAATCACTAAGAATACAATTTGAAAAATACCATCAACAAACTTGACCAAGTTGACATTTATAGAACATTTCACCTAATAAGAGCAGAACACACATTCTCTTCAAGTGCACATGGAACATTTATCAAAGTGGATCATGCTCTGGGCCACAGAATGAGTCTCAGCACATTTCAGAGGATTCAAGTGATACAAATTATGCTCTTTGGCCTCAAGAGAATGAAATCAGAAATCAATATGACAAAGATTTCTGGGAAATTCCAAAATATTTAGAAACTAATATTTCTAACCTAGTATTTACGATAAGCGCCAAAGTAACCAATAGCTCAGGAAGAAATCAAAACAGAAATCAGAAAGTGTTTGGAACTGGATGAAAATGAAACAGCACATAGAAATTGTTCTCAAAGGTTTTCCCCTCTCACTTAAGATATTTCACAGCCTTGGCACTAGTTTCATTTGTGCAAGGATTAAGCCCCAGCATCTTGTGACCCAGACCTGTCCTACAGCCCGAATGAAGATGAGAGCACTGATTATGTAAGTCCAGAGTTGAGGGCAGGAAAGAGGTTCTGAGTAATCTAGAGCTCTAAATTAGGAAATAACAGAAACTGAACAATTGAAACTTAACGGACTACAGCATTCATTGCAGGACTCACAGAAAAAATAGACAATCTCAGAAATCAAAAGCAGCACATGGAAAATAAAGTTTACAGATGTAAATAAAATTTGTTGTAAAAAATACTATAAGGATAATAGTACCCACTTCATATGGTTGTTATGAGGATCTGTTGAAATAATGCATGTAAAATACCCAAGATGGCCCCTGGCACATAGCAGGTGCTTGGTGAACATTAGCCAACTTCACATTTGTTACTTTTCTTGAGTTTGATGCTATGAGTAACAACTATTATATAATTAAAGGCCACGCAAAGCAAAACTTAAACTCTAAATCAGGCCACCAGGAAGGATTTGCTTCATCGCATGCCGTCAGGCACAACATCCATGCTGAACCCCAGGAATTACCTCCTTCGGTCGTGCTGGCCAGAATCCAAGGGCTCACTGCAGACCAGCCGACTTCATTCATGCAGGACACACCGATGCTGTAATTAGCCAGAGCTTGCAGCTGCTCGATTTGATACAGATGTGGGGAAGCAGAGGTGTTAAAAACCATAACTGAGCCATTACTCAGCAGATCAACTTCCTGGACCTACACGAAGAGTGAAAATGTGGACCAGGCGTTAGTCAGGTGGTAGGAATGTCAGGCACGGGGCATTCGTGCATTCGGTGTACAGGGTACTTCCTCTCCGCAGAGGGGAAGTACCTGCTTCCTTTCCGGCCGCACCCTGAATTTCCCACCAGCATTACTGAGTGTTACTCATGCTCCTGACCTGAGCAACAACTGAGGACCCAATGAAAAATGCCTAAAATAAGTGTTCTCACTTCGGCAGGTAATAGAGCAAATAATTATCATTATGCTACTGTAATTAGTATAATTTATATTACAATGTAAAATAAAACAGAGCCTGTCCTCTCTCGGAATCACTTCAATTCACGATCTTTCCTTTCAGCTGTTTCACAGACTAAGCAGTCAAGACAACAGACATCATTTGTGGTGGCAAAACCTAAAATACTTACTACATGACCCTTTAAAGAAAAAACATTTACCAAATCCTACTTTAGAAGGTGAGATACTTAAAAAAAAAACTATTTATTTTCACTATGTAACCTGAGGAATTCTGCTCCTGTCTTGAGGCTAATTTTAACATGTCCTTTATTCCTACCTCCCATTACCACCCCAATGTAAATTCAACTCCAAAAGCATACACAGATAATGTAGATTTTCTAGTATTTTTTTAGTGGGGAGATATGGGAAAGGGTCATTTGCACTTCACCCAACAAACTTTTCTCTAAACCTCTTTAAAGTCTATCAGCTCTTTCCTCTGAGTTCTCGCACCTCATCTTTCCCTCCATAAACTCCACCTGTCTCTCCACATCCCTCTCCAGATGTCCTCTGCAGGCACAGGCAAGAGAGGGGATGCTAAACTTCCAGCTTTTCCCTTAAGGATATCTCTTATCTAGGAAAGGCGATCATGGAGAGTTTTCTCTCATTGTATGTTTTTCACAATTTCTAAAACATGTCATACTTATAAAATCAGAAAAGACAAAATAGTATCAGATAAAACAGAAGCCACCAAAAACAACTGGGGAAAAAGTCTTAAACCCACAAAATGTATTCCCAATAATAATGGGCTTGGAAATATGGGCTGTGGACACACAATGCTGTTATTTCAAGATATGTATGTTTGAAATTTAGACCAAGGATGTCACAAATCAACATTTTGGAGTTCCAGTCCCTGAGTGGATGGATACCCAGAGGGTGGTGTTGGGGCCAAGTCTCACCTCTGACTCAGATCCACAGACTCCCTGGGTGACAAGAAGGGACTAGTTGGCCTGAGGAGCCACCAAGACCAACAAGGGGCTGTGTGCTTATCTTGGTGGTGGCTGTTGGCAGAAATTACCTTTTGTTTCTTCACTTTAGACTCTGCACCTACTTCCTGGTGACCAAGCACAAAAACTAACGTGGAGGAAGCCGTGGCTCTCCACCCCGTCCCACTTCCGGAAATGGGAAACCCGCTGGAGCGTTTCCAGGCCCAGGGTCACTCTCTGAGAGTACATTCCTAGAAGAAGACAGGGTTTCTTTAACAGTGCTCAGTGGGTCCTGGGGGAAAAGAGGGCACGAAACAGCAAGACCTATGTGAGAGAGTTAAAAATAGAAATGGAGTCTGTAGCCCAAAAATGGGTGAAGAAAGAAATGTCAGGACCAAAGGAAGTGAGAGGGTGTGTCCTGCTAGTGGGTGGACCTGAATCTTGTCCAAAACATTCATTTGTCACCAAGTCAGAGTCTAAAATTGTAACGAACTGGGAATCTGCTACAAAACTATACTTGGTCCCTTCAGAAATGGGAATACACTGCTCATCAACAGAATACGGAAGTATCACTTCTGGGGACACCTTCACATTGATTAGTTCTCACTAGGACTGCCAAGGAAAATAAAGGACAGCCAGTTATATTTAAATTTCAGATAAATAACAAATAATTACAGGTACAGGTATGTCACAAAATCGCTCGTGTACTTCAGCATGTAAAGTAACTGTGTTCTTATTTGCTAAATCTGGTAACCCTACCAGAGATGGAAAGGAGAATGGGCCAGCTGGTGGGGCACAGAGAGAATAACCATGTCCAGCCCCATAGGATGCAAGGTGGGCAAGCAGGGCCGCGGTTTGGCAGTCACAAGATGATTTCTCACTCTCTCCCTCTTTGCTTTGGCTTTTCCATGGCTACCCAAAGCCCAGGCAAAGAGAAAGAGAGTAAGTGAAGCTTGTTCATGATCATCTTCCATCTGTACATCAGGTGTAGCCTGATGATTTCAGGCCCTGCCAACCATCTTACTCCACCTCACCTTACTCTGAAACCCACTCTTCTCAAGGTGGGGTGTTACTCTTCCTCAGTCCCCCAAAAGGTAACATCCTCCCAAGGGAAGGAGTCTTATGTCCCCACTGACTCTTTAAACAGCTCAGCAACTTGAAACAATTTTTAAAAAGGCTGATCCACACATGAAATATAGCCAATATTTTATAATAACTATAAATGGAGTATAATCTATAACAATTTTGAATCACTATGTTGTACACCTGAAACTATGCCTCAATTACAAAAAAAAAAAAGGCTGATCCATGCTCCATTTATGTTTATATATAGGGACAGCCATGTTCATATGCAGGGAAACAGGTCCTGGTTGTTCCCAAAACAACAGAGTCCTGAAATACATGAAGCAAAAACTGATAGAAGTTGAAGAGAGAAAGAGATAATTCAAGAATAATAGTCGAGACCTCAGTTCTTCACTTTCAATAACAGATGAAACTACAAGACAGAAGATTAACAAGGAAATGGAAGACATGAATGAGACTCTCAACCAGTTAGACCTAACAGACATAGAAACACTCCACCCAACCACAGCTGAACACAGCTTCTCCTCAAGTGCATGTGGAGCATTTTCCAGGATAGATCATATGCTAGGCCATACAACAAGCCTTAGCAGATTTAACAGGATGCAAATCATACTAAGTATATCTTCTAAACACAATCAACAAAGGAAGAAAAGTTGAGAATTCACAACTAAGTGAAAATTAAACAACGCATTCCTGAATAACCAGTAGAACAAAGAAGAAATTCAAGAAAAATGATAAAAAATAAACAACTTGAGATGAATGGGAACCTCCCCCCTTCATACCAAAACTCATGGTATGCAGCTAATGCAGTGGTTAGTTGGGAGCAAATTAAGCCAAAGTAAACAGAAGAAAGGAAATAAACATTAGGGCAGAAATGAATGAAGCAGAGAATAGAAAAACAACAGAAAAAATTAATGAGCCCCAAAGTTGCTTCTTCCAAAAAAAAAAATCAATAAAATTGACAAAACATTTAGTTAGGCTGATCAAGAAAAATAAGAGAGACAATTCAAATGACTAAAATCAGGAATGAAAGAGGGGACATTACTACTCACCTCCAAGGAAAAAAGGTTCTAATGGAATATTATAAACAATTGTACATCAACAAATTAGATAATGTAAGAAAAATGGAAAAAAATTCCTAGAAACACACAAACTATCAAAACTGACTCATGAAGAAATAGAAAATCTGAATATATCTCTACTGAGTAAAAAGATTGGGCTAATATTCAAAAAACTTCCCACAAAGGAAAGCTTAGGGCCAGATGGCTTCACTGGTAATCTCTATAAAATATCTGAAGAAGCACAAACATCAACCTTTCATAAATTCTTCCAAGACATGGAAGAGGAGGGAACAGTTCCCAACTCTTTCTATAAGGCCAGTATCATCTTGATACCAAAGCCAGAAAAAGGTAACACAAGAAAACAGGCCAATTGCTCTTATAAACATAGACCCAATTAGATAGCGGTGATGATTGCAGAATTCTGAATATACTAAAAATCATTGAATTGTATGCTTTAAATGGGTAAATATTATGACATGTAAAATATATTTCAAAAAGGCTGTTCAAAAAAGGGGCATCCCTGGTTAGACTTTGTAGACACAAGGAGAATTCCTAACACTTACCCATACTTGGGAGGTTTACAAATAAAGTTGGGTAAGAATTAAGCAAGGCTGTGTGTGGGTAGCAGGGTGAGGGTGGAGACTATTTTGGGGATAATACATGTTTTTTCCAATTCAGAGGAGGAACAGCTGTTAGAAAAGAGTGGGAGGTAATGGGAGCAGAGAAACAAACTCCCTTTGGTACTAAAAACATCTGGTGGTCAACACGCAAAATTCTTTGAAAGTCACCTCTCTCAGTTGGGTTGGCATGACTGGTCTGTGTCAGGTTAATATGTTTTTATCTAATAAAATCAGACATTTATAAAACTAAGCACAACTCCTGACCCTACTGAATGATCAAGTACAAGGCAGAACGTATTCAGAGGATCATCCACATGTGCTCAACTACCTGCTCCCACATGCAGTGTCTCTTCTGAGACTCGGAGAAGCAGATGGTCCTGAGCATGGCTTTGGGCGTTGGAGTTTCCTGGGCTTGAATTCTGGTTTGGCTGTCACAGGCTGTGTGTGCCCTCTGGGCCTGCCAGTGCTGGTGTGGGTTTTAAGTAAGGTAATGTCGGTAGAGTCCCTTGGCCATCACGGGGGATGGGGAGGGGGTGGCGGCATGCAGCCAAAGGTACTGTTGCTGCTACCCTTCCCTGTTTATGCAGCGAACGCTCAGAGCAGAGCCTACATCATGGCAAGGTATCATTTTAGGATGGCTAACCTCTATTTCTTACAGCTCTATTTTATACAGTTTTAGGCAGTGGCTAAAAATGGGTGATGACTCTGCAGGGCCTGTCATCCCCAGGTTTCCCTGGCAGCCACAGCCTCGGGTGCTACGTTTAATGGTGAAGATGATCCATTTTGTGCTTGCTTTTCTGTCCTTTGTAGCCACCAACCCAGGAGGAGCTGGGCTGGAACATACCTGGCTCCTCAAATGCCTGGGAGTTCACAAGCCAGATGCGTTTTTGCACTTAAGAATTAATTCTTGGGGGGTGGGGGAGGGTATAGGTCAATGGTAGAGTGCATATGTAGCATGCATGAGGTCCTGGGTTCAATCCCCAGTATCTCCATCAAAAATAAATAAATAAATAAATAAACCCAATCACCTCCCCCACAACAAAATTAAAAAAAAAATTCTTTACTGTCTCAGGACGTTCTATCTTGGAAACGTATTTCTCCTCTAGTTGGGCCTGGACCACACACAGGAAGGAGGCAGAGTCCCAAAGGGCAGAACATCACAAAACAGCGCATGTCTGGTGGACTTTGAGCAGGGAGAGGTCAAGGGATTCCTAACGGAGCTGTTGAACTGATCTCCATGCCCATCCTCAGGAGGAAGGAAAACCAGGCAGACCCACAGAGCACCACGCAGTGAGTTCTCTCTTGACCCTGGAGGTTTACCTGAATGCTGCAATTGCTGAACGGGGAGTATCCATCAAAACCCAGGACCCAGGAGATCAGGATGCTGTGCGCGGTACTGCTGTGGACCCTGACTTCAGTTGGTGGGGAGGGAATTGCTACGTAGAAAACAAAGACACGCGTGAACACAATTGTAAGCCACAGGAGGCCACAGCTACCAAATAAATGCATTAATACCAAGCCTATTTCTGTTCCTTGAGATTGGGAAAATTAAATACAAGTTTTAAAAGGAGCCACCCTTCACCAGGGTGGTGGTATTTGCCTCCAGATCCGTCTTGCAGTGATAGGATGGCTCTGCCTGGGCCAGAGAAGTGGAACATGCACCTGTTTTCCTGCCCAGTGATGAGATGAGCGCTTTATGCTGACAGAAGAGGGCTGTCGCGGGAGCATGCATGCGTGTGCACACGTGTACATCTGCGTGTCTCGGAGGAAGGAAGCTTTCCAGGCTGAAGAAGCCAGTAAGAATCAGTTCAAGCAGAGAACCAACTGCACCTGCTTGCAGGGAGGTGGGGGCAGGACATACCATGATGAACGTGTGGTGACCTCAGCTGCACGTGGTACGCGAAGAGATACTTAAATCAGAATCCAACAAAGATCTCAAGTTTGGGGGTCTTTATTTTCTTGTGCTAATTTAACTCTTAATGAACAGTCATAACCACACTTTTCACCCAAAATGATGACTAATGTTTTCGAGTGCTTACTAGGTGCCAGGAACCTTACGGACTTCATTTCACCATTACTAGAGCCCTATCAGAGAAGTCGCCTTCCAGTCCTCACCTTACGGATGAGGAAACTGAGGACCAGAGAAGCTGAAAGCAGGCTCAAGGTCACAGGGCTCGTAAGCAGTAGAATGGAGATCTGAACTCAGGTCTGGCTGACCCCAGGGCTCCTGTCCCTCCACAGGGCACACTAGAGGCTGGGGCAGGGGAGTCTGGTCAGTGCTTAGCCAGCTGTATGGCCACGGCACGGTTCAATGCCCCCTCTAAACCCAGTTCCCTCTTCTGTTAAGGGGGACAGTGACGGCACGGCTCCTTGGACTGCAGTGAGGACTAAATGAGCTAACACAGGCATGAGGTCTAAGGGAGGTGCCGCGGTGGTGAGGGTGATGGGGGAAGGAAGGCTGGGACCATATTAAGCATTCGCGGGTACCATGTTCGGGAGTTTCAGTTTTACCACACAGCCTGATGAATGGGAAAGAGTCAGCATTTTGTCTGACTCACTTCCCTAAATAGATGCTCTGCTTTTCCAGATCAAACTTTGGCCACATACACTACAGCTGCTAACAGATGAGAAGGAAGTCTTGACTGCTTTGATATACATTTTTAAATAAATGGAAGTCCCAAACATAAGTTTTAGAAATAAGATTTATTTTTTTTAAAGTCTCAGAAGAGATTCTGCCTGAAAGCACAAAATTAAAGAAGTGCTTGTCATTTTACAGATTTTTAAACTTTAAGATGTTTATACTTTATGAAAATGTCTTTATAAATTCATGCCCACTCATGAATTCCTGAAATTCCCAACATTTCTTTTGAAAATTGTAAGAACAGGATTCGGAGTGAAGGAAGGAAGTCATACAGTTCCTCCCGGAGTAACTTTCAGTTTGCTTTTTCCCTTCCAATGAACTTTTAGCCTCAACCAGTGGATCTGCTGCAGTGAAACATTAGCCCCCTTTAAAGCACGACTTCTTCTGTCATTTTGAGTCTCTTGTTGTGCATGACCCAAACTTTCACTCATTATTCACATTCTGCTTTTCCCTTGTATTGTTTCCCCAAGAATTAAGACCAAAAGGAAAATGAATTCAACATTTCCTTCTCAGTATTTAAATTAGAAGCAAATACTAAAACATAACATTTGCTTGAATTTCTAGGAGAAAGGCTAAAGAAGATGATTTGAAAACGGATAAAAGGACAGTATTTAGGTTTTCTTTTTCCTTTCAAGTTTCAGGTTTAAATATCTTTGGTCCCACAGAAGGAGGAGGAAGAGGCAGAGGGGAGCCTTCAAGCACCTGCCTTTCTTTACGTTACATCCCAGCTCAGAGGAAGCAAGAGGGAGGGGGGATTAGGAGAAAGAGGGACCGGAGCCCTGGGTCCCCAAAAAGGAGTAACTGTGACCTTCTCCCTCTCTCAGAGCAGCTGCTGGTGGAGACTGGCTGCGGCCCCAGCTGCCCAGGGAAGGACGGAGCCCATTCTCAGATCAGTGCCCCAAGCTGCTCCTACCCTGGGAGCTTTCCAAGCGGTAATGGGGACTAGTTCAGGGTAAAAGCGAAAAGTGAAAACAGGAAGATGATCAAGGGAGAGCATTTCAGCCTATTTTCTTCTCAGACTGAGCAGAAACAGCTGATATATATCAAAGACACGTGTCAGGCCCCATTGTGAGTACTTTGACTGGATTATCTCATGTAAGCCTCAAGAAGAGGTAGGTTTTGTAATTATCCCCATTTTCCAGAGGGGAACACTGAAGTCAGCGAGGTTAAGTGACTTGTCCAAGGTCACAAAGGGAAGCCAGGGCTCAAACCCAGGCAAGTGGTTACAGAGCTCACACGGCACCTCCCCATCTGCTCCCGGAACACGTGGGGGGACCCAGCTCCACCACTCACCTTTGATGTTGATCTGTGCGCCCTTGGACACAGTCAGTCCTTTGTCGTTGTGGGCCTCACAACTGAAGACTGCGGTCTCGGTCAGCCCTGGAACAGAAGGAGACCCATTAGACCAGCCGCAGAGAGACAGGCTGCTGTTTATCAGAATCCTACGGTGTCTCAGCATACTTTTCTTGGTTCACTGCTTCAAGCCATAAATGCAAAGTTAATTTAAAAAATGGGGTGGTGTTTGAAAAACAAACCTGAGATTAAACCCTAGGTACCAGGAGCAAAGCATGGGTCTAAAAGGCAGCTGCAATTCATTAAAATCTTTTATTTTCCCCCAATGGTGAGATATTAGTTAACAAAGTTGTACCGTTCAGCTGTTAAATTTCTGCAAGGAGGAATGGGAATGGCCCCAATATCAAGAAAAGTTGGGTTTCTGATTCTGGCCCAGACAACCCCCTGCCGCTCAGTGCCCAGTATACCGTAGGTCACACGCTGTGGACGTGTCAGGGTACCAGAAACAGTAGGATAAAAGTCACAGATTTCAATACTTCAGATGGTCTGTTGTAATGAATCCTTTTGTAATAGTAAAAATTGGAGGAATTATTATATAAACATGAGGCATTGCTATGACTTGAAGACAAGACACTAGTGCTGAAGGAAGAAAAATTCTATCATTTCAGAGGTTTGAAGACACCTTGGAAATGAAAAACAGTAGCTGCTTCTTTAATTTTGAGGATAAAAGAAGAGAGGTAATCCAGGTCCTGGTTTCTAACACTACTCTGCCAGGCTCCTCGGAGAAATGGCTGAGTCTCAGGTTGCAGCAAGAAAGATGAGGTGAGCCTGGAGCAAAATACAACACACACACACACACACACACACACACACACACGCACAGAGTGATGGGGGTACGGCAAAGAGACACAGGAGCCAACTGCACGAACTCCCAACGGCCAAAGCTGGAACAGTTTGAGCAAGAAAATAAAGTAGCATTAAATTGCAACCCAAAGTATAAAATGAGCATCCATGACCCTATACCATTATAAACAAATGACTAGATAAACAGAGTGAGAAGAGACAAAAATACTGAAGAATCCCAAGTGATTTATGTAGCTGCTCTGCCCCCAGGGAGGATGAACTTAGCCCCTGACTCCTGACACGGGGGCCGCACAGAACTTCCTTCCAGAGAGGACAGTACGGAAAGAGGAATCAGAAAACTTCAGAGGGGAGAAACTGACAAACATTAGCTCAGAGGGTCAAGGTCAAGACCAACCATGAAGTCATGTGAAGATGGCACTTCCCCTCTGTGGTCTCCTCCCCAAAACACATCACCCAAGTCTCATCACAAGAATAAAGGAGAAAAACATCAGACTGGTTCAAGCTGTGCGACGATCTACAAAAAAGCCTGACTGGGACTCCTCAAAACTGTCAAGGTCACTGAAAATAAGGAAAGTTTGAGAAACTGTCACAACCAAGAGGAGACTAAGCAGACATGACAACTAAACCCTGGAGCAGAGAAAGGACATTAGACAAAAACTAAGGAAATCTGAATAAAGGATAGACTTTAATTATGATGTGCCAGGAACTTTCAGAGACAGAATCATCAGCTCACGCTGCTTTAAGGCTTACATTTACTGAAGGGACATTTCAATGAGATAAAGAGGCATGCTTGGAAAACAAACCGTAGTTATCAAAGGGGAAAGGATTGGGGAGGGATAAATTAGGAGTTTGGGGCTACTATACATAAAACAACAGGGATCTACTGTAGAGCACAGGGAACAATATTCAGTATCTTGTAATAACATAAAGGGAAAGAATCTGAAATATATATATATACACACACACGTTTAACTGAATTGCTTTGCTGTACACCTGAAACTAACATTGTAAATCAACTACACTGCAATAAAAAATAAAATTAAAAAAAAAAGAGGCATGCCTGGAATGGCTGCTCAACAAGACATCAAGTAGCCGGAAGTTCCACTGCCTCCCAAAAATCTCAAAAATGCCTGTGATCATCTCTCTGGAGAAGCTGAACCTACAAACCTATTGGTGAATCTTTCATTCCTGCTTTATTTTGCTAAGTTCTAAAAATAATGCAATGGATATAAGGAAGTGAAATAATCTTTTTATGGTACACTGTACTATGTCACATTAAGTATAGTTGTTAAAACATGATGAATCAGGATTGGTTCATTAATTGTAACAAATGCACCACACCAGTCAATAAAAGATGTTAATGATTGTGGCAGGAGGTAGGGTTTAATGGGAATACTCTTCAAGATGGTACACAATTTTTCTATAAATCTAATAAAATTATTCTAAAACTTTTTAGGTTATTTCTTAAAAGCATAGCCATATATATCATCTAGCTGAATCTGGAAACCTTCTCTGGTACACAAGGCGTCATCTGGCACAGAGTTTAGGCCATGAACTGGAGAAAGACAGATAAAATTCTTGAAAACACGCCACCATTTGCTTCTTGCCTGAAAGGCTGATTTTGTTTTCTTCTATCCAGCTACTTGTGCAGGACATTTTCCATCTGATCATTTTAAAATCCAAAGCTTGTCACTAACGGAGTAATTAAATATTTGAAACAAGCTGCCAAGGAAAACCAAGCTGGGCATCAGCCGAGAAAGAGCATCCACGTTGGATGCCCGCGTGGCCAATGCTGCACTGAGGCCGGGCCACGCGGCCTGGGAGAAGTTCTAGGAAGAAACGCAAGTCCCATCCTCTTTGTGTTGGTGCCTCTCCTGAGGGGTGAGCTGTGCACAGAAAAGTCAGTGCTGGCTGTTTGTTCTTTCCATCCAGATGGAAGTCTGTCCTGGTATCTGAGCTCTGTTGGCTAGACATGGCCCCTCAAGGGAGCACTGAAGCTGGGCATCTCTGTCCTACAGTTCTGTGGTGACCTCTGACTTCTTCTAAATAATATCAGATCAGAATATGACACCTGCTTCAGATATTTCACTTTTCCAAGATGAGGAGGTTTTCCCTCAGACTGCAGGAAAATCCCAAGTTAGATTGCTTAATTAGATCCTCTAAGTCCAAGTGCTAGGAGGCTAAAGTTCCAGTTAGGAGCCAGCTCTTTGCACATCAGGTCACCTCCTCTCATGAGAGATGAAACTGCTAACAGTTTGTGTGATGATCTAGAAAATATTTATTTCATTGAAGAGGAATATTTATTTCAAACCCATCAGCCACATCTATAAAAGGACATCTGTGACCCCACTGCCTCAAGGAGTCTTTGTATCTTCTGCTTGTATTCCTCCCAAAGAACTTTGAAAAATATATGTAGCCTCTTACCCATTTGGAGGTTTGCATCTTAACTTGTTCATAATTTAAACAGCTTCAAAAAAAAAAATGTAACTTCGAAAAAAAAATGTAACTTCAGGTACCCGGAATATCCTGACATTGTAAAGGGAAACTCCTTTAGAGTCCTATGCAACCTAATTATTAATGGGATGGGAGACCCAGCTTCAGTGGGTGAAGCTGGGTCTCCCCAGCAATCGGTTTTCCATCGTGACTTTTCCACTTCCCCTGCAGAATTTTCTCCTACTGGCACACACAGGTGTGTTTGAAAGTCATTGATTAATTGCCCTATGGCATTTCTCGGTGACAAAATTACACATATGGAATGAAACTGGAAAACAAACGTTCTTCTAGACTGATTATCCTTACACTTATTTAGTGCACAGCGGATTCAAACAGTTTTACTTTGAGAACTGGTGCCCCGTAGTGACTCCAGGTAAGTCAGAGGGAGGTCTCTTTTCTTTTGTAAAGTGAGGGAGAGATAAGGATGCAGAAGGTGAAAAAGAAGAACCAGCATAGCATCGGGACATGCGCACTTTGTCAGCTGTTCATTCTGGGAAAGAAGACACTGGGTGAGGATGGCGACACTGACCCCTTTAAGCCACCACCTGGGGCTCCAGAGCTGATCGCTATTTCACAGGCTGGCCTGGGACATTGGGCTCTCAGTGAAATGAAGCGGCACCTTTAACCTCCCAGGTCGTAAGCTCCCAACTGAGATGCCCATTTCGCCAGGCTCCGTGAACTTGCAAAACTTGGCTTATATTTAGAAAACTCAGCTTTGGCTCCATCAGGAGACACTGGGAGTTGCTATGCAACTGACATTTTTTATATATTCGAGCAGACATTTACAGGCAAAAACCAGTCCTTCCACTTCAATTACTCTTGTCAAAACTCTTGGGAAATACTTCAGTACAAACTACAGGTCACATTCCCAACTTGTCGTTGCGGGGAAGAGCAGCCCTGGATGGATTTATGTCCTTGGGATCCGCTCTCCAGTTACAGATCCCCAAATAAGATCACTGAGACCCACTGTTCTTCAGTCCTGTTTCTCTTCAGAGTGCACACACAAAGTCAGGACCACAGTCTGGAGCCAATTCCCTGGCACAAGGCACCCACCCCGAGTCAGAACTGCCCACAAGAGGCCAAAGCTCCTATGAGAGCATTTCTTCCCGGGATGATGAGGTGGTTCATGCCTGCAGGCCAAACAGACGCCAGCAGAGAGAAATGGGAACTGGTTCAAACTCAAGCCAACTAGATGGGCCAAAACTTAAGGCCAGATACAGGCTTCTTTGCTCAATGGATTCAGTTACACATTTTTGGTTTAATGACACAGCTTCCCAGCTGGAGACTCATCTACAAGCCTGCATTGAATACAGCAACCAATGTGCATGAAGAAAGACAGCTGCCCCTCACTTTTCTGTTCTTCCTCTGGATGAACAATAACCACCAGGTTGGAAGAGACTTTGACGGTTTACAGCCCAGACCCTTGTGGCTATCCAGGGAGAAAATCATGCACCACCCCTCAAGTCTCCACCCTACTACCTGCTCTCCTGAGTGTCCTTGGCACCAGAGCCTCCACATCACCCTTTGCTGTGTTCCCTTCTCCTGGGCCATCTCCCTTTCTCCATCACATCTCACCCAACTCTGCTATGACAGTTCATGCTGCTCTTGCTTGGCCCTCTACTGGTTTAAAAAAAGATAGCCTCTATCCCCCTGTTCACAGCAGCACATTTACAACAGCCAAGACACAGAAACAACCTAAATGCCCATTGACAGATGACTGGATAAAGAAG